GTGAATTTCTCTGCACTTTGATGCGTGACGCGGAAATGAAGCTCGATTCCCTTGAACCTTGCCTCGATGCATTTGTAATTCGAAAAGGGATGAAAGGGAGAGAGGGATTCTCGGGGAAAGATAGTTTCGAGATATATGGGTTTGTTTGTTTGTTTGGTTGTTGTGTTTTGATTTATTATTATTATTAGGGATGGCTGTAAAAATATTTTATTTTTTGGGAGGGAGGGGAATTTTAAAAATTGGTCTTTTGTAATTTTGTAATTTGAGTAATATTTAATATTTAATCCGTTAAGTTGAATGTTATTAAAATATAAAAGGAAGATTTTTATTTTTTATCTTATTAAGAGAGAATTGATATTATTATATTTCGATTTCGTAGTAATTAAATGTGGAATATGGATTTATTGTTTATCAGCCATTAGATTGTTATAGCGAATCGTTTGATTTTTGAAAATATATTTTCGAATTTTATTTTAAGATTTTCTTTTGAAATATATAAATTTATAGATGAATAATGTAGGTATTATTTTTTTTTTTTTTTTTTTACTTGTAATTTAAATATAGATTCATTCTTTGTATATTTGATATTTTAGTTTTATATATTGAGAATAATTAAAAATTTTAGGATTTTTTTTCATTTATTTATTTTCTATTTCCTGCCTTTTTTTCAGGAAACTTGTCAATGAGTGATCGTGTTATACAATGGACACAGGGTTCTACAAGGCAGAAGTTCTGAAATTTGACAATAAATGGAGACCAAGAACATTTTCTTTTATAAATCCAAGTTTCTTCTTTGTTACAGGAGCAATGATTTATTTCAGGAACCTGAGGTAAGTTTGTCTTCTTTTTTTTTTTTCTTCTTCTTTTTTTATGAATGTAGCAGAATAATAAAAATTGAAAAAAAATTTCTATTCTTAGCATACAGATGTTGTTGATAAAAAGAAGTTACCTATTTTAAAACTGAATGAAAACTGCAAGTACAAAGAGAGAGGCTGTATATTTTTTATTTGAAATATTTAAATATGAATGGTGAAAAAGGAAGAAAAATATGCAAAAAATAAATATCATTTTTAAGAGTATCTATTTTGCATTTAACTGCATTTTAATAAGTACTCCATCATATTTGAAATTGCATGTTATACGTGGCTGTCAGGCAATGCAATGCTTCAAAATGATCCAAGATTCACTTTGTGCGGGTGATATATGTATTTGCTCGCATTCCACGTGTCAGTTCAATTAAGTCTCATATACATCAAGATCCTCGATGCATAACGAGAATTCTAGGGAAAAAAAAAATGAAACAGTCGAGAAGAACACTTTGATATTCAAAAAAGAAAGATTTTCTTTTGAAATATATAAATTTATAAATGAATAATGTAGGTATTATTTTTTTTTTTTATTTGTAATTTAAATATAGATTCATTCTTTGTATATTTGATATTTTAGTTTTATATATTTATTATATTATGTAATTAAAAAAATGTTTTTTAATTTTCACAAAACTTTATTTATAAAATATATTTTTTTTATTTACAGTAATTTGAAGAAATATTTGCATCATATTGGAATCATATTGCAAAAATTACACTTGTTTTATTATCATATCATCAATTATATTATCATAATACTGTCATAAATGTATTTTATACTTTAAAAATCAAAATTATAAAATTAAATTTTAATAAGTTGCTTTTATCTTCTACTGATTTAAAGATATTAGCCTAAAGCAAATTATATTATATTTTTATAAAATATCTTACCAATATTTTACATTTTATTAAAATTTTTTCTCTATCCTCTTTTACATTTCTATTTTCAGAACTTGATTAACTTATATGAAATATTCTATATCCATAAATGAACATTTCAAGTAACAACATCCTGATAATTACAATTAATAAAAGAACCCATTAAAAATATAATAAATTGTCGCATCTCTAGAAGATTTAAAGGTATTATATTTAAAATTATTACATTAAATTCTCATAAAATTAAATTTTATATTTTAATAAAATTTTCTTTTATCCTCTACAGTTTTAGATCAAATTGTATGAAACATCCTGTGTCCACGATATTTAACTTTCAGTAGCAAAATCAGGCAATTACAATCGATAAAAGAATTCATTAAAAAATTCAATGAGTTGTCACACTTCTTAAAAGCCGTTCATTACCTGGCTATAACATGAAATATTTCGAGGACATCCAGTTCATTAAAAACGAGTTCTCGACTCGTGATATTAATTCTTCCCGATGGTAAGATCGAAGTACAAACGTGTAAGAGATCTGAACAAATAGTGGGCTCTCGATGAGTTTCAATGCATGAAAGAATAATCAAATTTTAAAAATTGATCGTGAAGCTGTGATATTGTTTGGGACGTTGAATCTTTATAAAAAGTTAATTCATTTCGATAACTTCATGCGATCGAAAGATTCCAGTTTTAATGGATATGAATATTTTGACACCATGAAAGTTTCTCTCAGTTCGAGGAGAATATAAATTTGATCGTGTAAACGAATTCGTGAAGCACTATGAAAACACTGGTCGTGTTTTCTGTAAATGTTTGAAAGGAAATTGCAATGCAATTTCTTATAGGAATAGATTGAAAAAGCGTTTAAATTCTTGTGATATAAGAAATTTTATTGGAGAAAATTTGGTATTTTTATATTCGCAATGATTAAAAGATTTTTAATGTAATAAAATGTTGAATATAAAGTAAATTCTAATAGGAAAATAGAAAATTTTAATATTTTTTTATAGGATATAAAACTTTAATATTTAAAATTTTAATAAGAAAAATTAAAGTAAATAATATTAGTAGAAAAGATGAAAATTTTAGACATTTATATTTTTATTTATAAATCAGAATTATCATATAAAAGTATGAACTTCACAATTAGTTACAGAAGACCAAATTATACTTTGCTATACAATCTTTTAATCTCTTTCATGAAAAAACTTTTAGAAAGTAAAAAATTAAGATTAAAAGATAAATATAATCATGTTAAAATTAATCGTATTATGACAGTGATCAATTGAAGATAATCTAATAAAATTAGTTTCATTTTCTAAGTGAGAATAATATATTATATGTTCAATTTTTTATAGACATTTAATCAGCTAATATAATTATCATTAAGCAAAAATGATCTAAATTAGTTCATGATTCAAAGTTCAAATTAGAGATTGCGAAAAAAATCTTGAATCCATATTTTATATTATCTTTAAAAGCAATTTTTTAAAATTCTTTGATATTATTTATGATTAAAATAACTCTGCCATAATTAACATGTTTATCTACTTAGTTATCATTTACCATTTTTCGTATTTTCTTTTCTTTTGAATATATACTAACTTAATAATTTTTAAAGAATTTTTTAATTTTATTGAATGTATAAAATAATTCAGAGAAAATTTATTATTTTTATTATTGAATACTATTGTTTAGATATATTATTAGTTTCATATAATCATATAAAATATAATTTATATTATTTAAGAAAATAAAGTAAAAAGTAAACTATCTAGTATTAAAATTGTATTACATAATTAAACATGATTCAAATTTTATTTAAAATTTAATTTCATAAAATAGAATTGTATAAAAATACCAAATTGTAAAAATATTAAATTTAATGTAATATAGTTTAAAAAAAGAAATATAATAATGTTAAACTTGGTATTGTTACAGATAATTGAAGTAAGAAAGAAAATAACAATTTACTTGGAGCAACTTAATACAATGAGTTCATTAATGAGGATCCATACATCACAGATTATGCAAGATATATGAGTGTTGGCCACAGGCATCGTTAATTAACAGTTGAATCAAAATGATCATTCGATGTGTAATAGCATCACAATTATTCACGTCGATCGACACACTGCTGATCACGTTATACCCATTGTCACTGCATTTGACAGACGCGTCAATCAATTTATAACACAGGCACGGAAGCTATACGTCCCGTGCATCCTGAAACATGGCGATCAGCGGAAGCCCTCGAAAGTGAAAAATCCCTTGAAAAATAGAACGGCTGCCAGGATGATCCGTTGTATATTGGAGATAGTTTGGTGAAAATTGAAATTTTTCATCGCGCCGCTTGAACCATTGTGCAGGTACACTACTTCTCTGTATTTATAATAAATTAAAGAATAACTTGTTTTGGATGTTATTTAAATTATAAATTGATAAAGATTGACATAGAATTAATTTTTTTTGATAGAATTTCTTAAAGAAATATTGGTTTTATGATAAAATTAATTTTATCACTTTTTATTTTTATAATATTTTGAGATATGTAATATATTTTTATGTCAAATATTTTATATATTATTTTGTGTCTTCATAAATAATTTATATATAATTTTATGTGAAGGGCAGAGCAAAGCAGAGTAAATTTTAAGGAAGGAAATAGGAAGGATAAAAGATATGAAAGGATCATAAAAATAAGAAATAGACATGAAAAGAAGAGAAAAAGATAGATGAAGATTAAGAATAAGAAAAAGAATGAAGAAAAAAAGAAAAAAAAGAGAAGAAACAGGAAATTGAAGAAATCTAAAGAAAAATAAAACAATAATAGATTTTAAATGTTATATTTTTATATTATATTCTTGTTATAAATATTATATCTTTATTATATATTTTGTTATATTCTAAAACTTCATATTTTAAATCTTTAGACTGACAGTGTTAAATTTGAGTGTTAACTATAATTAAAGTGTTAATTATATTTATAGTATTAATTTTATTATCGTGTAATATTAATTTGATATTGGACTATTGGAAAATATTTTTTATCGTAATGGATTTCATATATTTTTATATTTTTGCATATTGTATATTTGTATTTCTATATGGTATAGAACAATATATTTTATATATTTTTTATATTTATGTATTTTTTATTTTTTCTTCCCCTTTTTTTTCAAGAAATTCTTCTGTTTTAATTTTTTCAAGACAAGTTTCTTACTTGTGAACACATACAGATTATTTTGTTAACAAGTATTTAAATATTATAAATATTCTATATTATAAAATTGCTGTTGTATTTATTTCCTATTCTATAATATGAAGAATTCATAATAAAAACGATCCTGATTTCAATCAAAATATATCAGGATTTTATGATTTAATTTGATATAATTATTCTGTAATATAATTACAAATATTACACGCAACAATTATGTAATAGAATATTTCGCTATTATGTACGATTATTTCGCTCAAGAAAACTTGAATTTATTAAAAAAATTAAAAAATTTTTAAATATTTTTGTTTTTTTTTGTAAAAGGATAACAATTGACAAAGATCGTTCTTCGTATCAATTCTTCAATTGTAAATGGAATATACTTTTGCATCAGTTAAACAGAAATAAAATTGTCAAGGATCAACGCCATCTCGCGTTTGGATCACCGAAGCTCCGACTTGTTATTAGCATAGCAGAATATGCAAGGAGGTATGCGAATTCGCATGACGTCACAGACAAGGAACGCAATATTGTGCGAGAAAGACAGAGAGAATTTTCCACCATTACTATGACACCACATAGAAAATTCATTAATTTCTTGCTTTTTACCAAAAATTTCGATACTTTTAAGCTTACATCTTGAAGCTAGAACCTCAGACAAGCTTCTCATAACAATTTTAATGCAAAATTCTTTTTAAATAATTATTTATTAATAATTAATTCGTCATACTCTCTATTGCATCGAAGACGCCATATTGAAAATTCATTAATTATTCATTTCCTACTAAAAATTTCGATACTTTTAAGCTTGCATCTTCGAGCTAGAACCTCAGACAAGTTTCACATATAAATTTTATGCATAATTTTACTATTATTTAAATAAATAAATTAATTGTTTATTATTCGATTATCGAACGAAGATTCACAACTGAGATATTCTGTATAATAATCGTTAATAAATAATTAATTGAAACAATTTTTATAGTAAAATTGTTATGGGAAGCTTGCCTGAAGTTCTAACTTCAAGATACAAGCTTAAAAGTGTCGAAATTTTTAGTAGGAAACGAATAATTAATGAATTTTCAATATGGCGTCTTCGATGCAATAGAGAGTATGACGAATTAATTATTAATAAATAATTATTTAAAAAGAATTTTGTATTAAAATTGTTATGAGAAGCTTGTCTGAGGTTCTAGTTTTAAGATGCAAGCTTAAAAGTATCGAAATTTTTGGTAGAAAGCAAGAAATTAATGAATTTTCCATGTGATGTCATAGTAATGGTGGAAAATTCTCTCTGTCTTTCTCGCACAATATTGCGTTCCTTGTCTGTGACGTCATGCGAATTCGCATACCTCCTTGCATATTCTGCTATGCTAATAACAAGTCGGAGCTTCGGTGATCCAAACGCGAGATGGCGCTGATCCTAGAAAATGTTTAAATCTTCGTTTAACTTATCGACAAAATGGATTCCATTCAAAATTTATAGAATCAAAGGAAAGATAGAGTAATAAATAGAGTATAATTTATAAATTATTTATTTAAATAAGAATGTTTAATAATATAAAAGAGAATAATAAAGAAAAAATATTTTTCTGAAGAAATTGTATTTGAAGAATATACATGCTATACATATGTAAGTAAATATTTCATCATATAAATAATATATTATGTTTTAGGTTAGTTTTTTTTTCATTATAAATAAATCGTATATATTCTTATAATTATTCATTTATTCTTACTTAAAAAATAGGTTTTATATTGAGAAAATGTATTGCTATCAATATGTTAAAAATTAAAACAATGGAATGGAATAATTTATGTCAATCATATTTAATACAAAAACTGTATTATAAGTAAAGTAAAGTAGTAAAGTAGTAAAGAAAATATAGCTAAAAATTATAAAAATTGTTCTGGATTTCAAATTTTTTCATATTTTAAAGATGTTCTTAATGTAATTTTAATTTTTAAATTGATTTAATTGAAAGAAGAGAAATATGAGAATAAAGGTAGTAGTAAATAATTAGGATTTATAAAAAAAACATTCTTCTTTATCTTTTATTCTGACAATAAATATTTTGTAAGTATTACTTGTTATAATGTGACATAATGTACTGAGCTAAAGCAATAAAAATATAATTGTCTCTTAATATTATTATTTTATTATATAATATTTTATTTGTAGCGATTTTCAATCAAAATTGGTCGTTATATATATAATAAATGAATCTAACATTTCCTGAGGTCTGTTAAAAATTATACATATTTTTATATTTTAAGATATTTTTATTATAGCGAATTATGTCTTTTTAGGAAAGGAAAAAAATAGAAATAAAAATAGCAAGAAAAATGTATTTCATTTCGAAAATGCGACGAACAAAATATACCAATAATATTTAGAAGTATCTTTGATAATTGTAATGGACCAAAATGAAGAGAATTTTTTTCAAACAATAAAAAAAATCTTTTATTTATATTATATTTTTATTATATTTTTATATGTTTGTATATATTTTACGTACATTTGAACATAAATTTTTTCTGATAAAAATTTCAATTTTGTATTAGAAATATAATTTGAGAAAAGATGGCACGCGAAATTCTTAAAATTTTATTTAAGCCATAAAATTTTTGAATATACAGTTAGAATTTTGTGATTTTATATTAAGAGAATATAACATGTAAAGAAATAGTACAAAATTTTAAAAAAAGCAAAAATTTTTGTTCAAATTTTATTATACTTACCTGTAAAATACTTACCTTTTATAATACTTACCCATTGCAACTGCCATTTTTTAAGAATATTTTTCTTTTCTGTTTTTTTTTTTCAGTTTTCTTAATTCTACGGATACTTACCGTTTTTATACTTACCTTTTAGAATTGCTTTTTTTGCAAATAAATATTCCTTTATCATTTTCTTAATAAAATATTTCAGGAATTTACAAAGTAAGTCATGTAACTTTGTCATTTATTGAGAATTTAATTTGTTTCTGATAAACAAAAAATGTTTCAGATAAATATTGAATAAAAACTTCCATCATATCCATCGAATATTCACAAAACAAAGTTCATCTCGTTGCAAATTCCCAGACTCCCAAAATCCACGCAACGCTACTCCGGATCGATTAAGGAGAAAATTAGATCTAGAGGACCGTTATTGCACCGCGATTACCAATATTGTAGTATGCATCGATAATCGAATGGATTCCCTATCTATCGATTTTCGCTGATGCATCGATATTTCGTCATTTGCCCGTTAAATATGCGTCCATGCCTTTGTAAAGCCATATCTTTCGTTGGATTGTTGCGTCAAATGCAATTCATTCCGCGCGATTGATTCACCATTGAAAAACTGTGTTGCAGTATGCTTTGCCTTTCGAAAAGTAATTAACAAGCAGGCTAGCGTGCATTTATTTATTCCGGAAATATTCTGTTCGGGGAACAAGCGTGAAATGCGATCGGTCCTTGTCATGTTGAGATCACAGGAATCGAACGTGATGGAGCGGAATTGAAATATATACGTGTACAGGGAGTTCGGCTATAGGTATTTAAAAAAAAAAAGCCAAAATAAAATAGCTATCAAGAATAAAAATAAAAAAATCAGGACTTTAGTTATTAACGATTGAAAGATAGACAAAAATATCCTTGAAATATTTCAGGTAATTTTTTTATTTTTGATTTTTGTTTTATTTTGAATTAAAACATCGCCTTTTAAATTTTTATATTATATCTATAAGTGAATATATATATATAAGAACATATACCATTGAATTTTTTATTACGCTTTTATTTTACGCTTTTGCACGGTTCGAGTAGAAATTCCGCTGAATGCGGCTGGTTGGTTGCATAGCCGATATAACTGATGCAAGGAAAGAACGAATACACGCGATAGAACTGCAATATTGGATAGATTTGTAATACACGAGGGATTCAGAACAATCAGCCACATAAAATGTTGGTTTTAAATGTTAAAAATCAAATGTCATGAGATTTGGGAATCTGTATTATTTTATCCTAAGTTAATTTCATGTGGATAATATTTCAAAGATATATTTGAAGATTAGCCAATATGTGTAATATCAGGTAATAATAGTCCAGCGACTATATTTTTTTCTTAACCGCTCTAAAAAGCTAGAAAATAAGCTCATAAATCTTTTAGGTCCTAAAATTTAAGACCTAAACATAGAAAGGACAAACGCCTTATCCAATTCTTTCAATTTTCCTTAAAGCGCACATAAAATAGAAAAAAAAAGAAGGCACAAGAAAAAAGTTAAAGGATCTATTTTTTGAGATTTATAGCGCAAAGATAAAAAACCAATTTTTGCACGATTTAATAACCAGCTTTTCGTAGAGAATATAGAAAGATTACAATATAAAAAAATTTAAACTAGAGATTTTAAACATGAGAAGGCTAAACTTTATATTATATTTTATACAACAAGTAATTTCTCGGACTAGATAAGATACATAAAAAATTCTAAAGAACCATATCTTAAAATCTAAAATTATTATAGGTAAAATAGGAAGGTTAACCTTTGAATGGTTGATTCAGCTAGCAGTGCACGTAAGATAAGATAAGCCGCAAGAAAGAAGCCAGAGAAGTCTAAAATTTAGGACCCAAATATAGGCAAACATAGGAAAAGCCAAGAAGATCCCAAAATTTATGGCCTTAACATAGGAAGACCAATCTTGCACGGTTGATTCAACAACCAATTTCGCTTAGAGCGCAAAATTGAAGCTAGAGAATTCATACCCAAGAAATTAATACTCGGATATAAGAAGACCAAACGAAAGAGGAGCAATCATCGAATGTACACACACACATGTAGCATATCTAACAGGTAGCCCGACAGCAGCACCACCACCACACCCAAACGAAGGGGAGTAGAACGTAAAGGGAAGCTGTATCGATTGGAGGCTTTGCTGGGTAACCACCGGCAGCTTCCGTTGGTCCTGCACTCTCCTCCAAATCTCGCCATTGGAAAGCCAACGAATTTTACACCACGTGTTCCATCGACCATGTCCAAAGGTCCCGCTTGCTCGAGCTGCCATGAATAGACCCGAGTCTCGACTCGACTAACAGATTTCGTGATTCCTGTAATTAAGTTAATCGAATCGCCTCTGCATACATGTTGGTCTGGCTTAATATACAATCCCGCCACGACCATTCTAACTATTGGAGTTTAAAATAGTACATCATGAATTTTCAAAGGCGTTAGAAGATATTTTAATTCTCTTCAGAATCTGAATCTGACGATGATTCGTTGATTGTTTCTAAATCGAATTCATGATTGAAGGTATCAAATAAACTCAATTTCAGATTTTTTATAATATTTTATAATTATTAAAAATGTGCAATATAGTTTCTATACAGTTTCTATTCGAATAGAAAAATAATTATATGTTACATATATATATTATTGGATTACAAGTAAAGTTGTACACGCAAACTATGTTCATCACTCGAATCGTGTGACAATCACTAAACAAGTAACACCGCTGTGAATTCGAAATCGGATCGAAAAGCAACTCTTCAATATATATAGAATTTTCGAGATCAATGAATGTTACAAATGCATTAACCATAAGACGAAAAAGATGAACCGCAAATTGTGGTTCAAATCAACCGATTAAAATGGAACTAGCAGCTATCGTGATAGTAATTAGATCCAGTTCCATTGGTTAAATAGTTGCAAATGAGAAAATACCATTGTCTATCCGATTCAAATGTGTTGTATGCGATTTGGTGCATATAGGAAGAAAATTCATTCGATTCACACTAATAGTCTGTGCACGAGCACAAATGCTATTCAATATGGCTGTACGTGATTGGAACGTGAATGTTGAGGTTAGTTTGAAAACATTGTTGAATATAGAATGTTCGACTACAAGTATTCAAAAAAGAAAATTAAAGGATAATTCTTTAATGTAAAATAATTGATATGGATCGATTTAAGATCATTTACGATAATTTCAAGTTTAAATTTAATATTAATATGTTATTGTTAGTATGCAGATATTTATATAAAATGAAAAATTATGAAAAATTTAAATATAAAAGAATCTATAAAATAAGAATAAAATAAGAATCTATAAAAATAAACGTTTTAAAAAAATTAATTTTTATTTAAATTCTATTTTGGATTTGCATAATTATATACAATTAATTCATTATCATTATCAACATTTTTTTCAGATATTTCCATTTATTTTTATTTTTAAGAAGTGATCAGGAAAATAATGAAATCTTATTATATTAAATTTTTTTCTTATTCTTACTTATAAAATATATTTATATACATTTGACATTTAAGAAACTGGAACAGTCTATGTAATTTCATAACACTTTTGATTATATAATGTAAATTACTTGATACATGATTATTTTTTTATAATATTATGAGTGACTTTCCAAAATATAATATAATGAATCATGCTTACTTACTATTATATAATTTAATTGATAAATATATCGCTTCTTATATGCAAGATCTAATTTTGATTCTAATTTTGATCTAATAATCCGATCAAACTTAATCTTTTTCCATCGACAACATTAAAATAAAAATTCTTCTTGAATCTACTTTTATATTTCTTCGATTAATTCTAAAATAAAAATTTTACAACATAATTATATTCAACGAAGATCGTATTTAATAAACGATTAAATAAATTAGTTACATAAAAGAAATAATTTATTTTATCTTACATACTATTAATAAATACAATTATTTCATTTCAAATATTTCGAATGTGTAAGATCTCAGCAACGTTGAATTCAAGAGAAGATTTAAAATCAAGTTTTAATTACTTTCGCCTTATTCAGCAATCCAATTAACTCATCCTTTTTATTTTTATACAATCAAATAGGAGAAATATATTTGCATCGTCATCGATCTAATACATTAAAAAAATTTTTAAATAATTATTATATATTTAATGCATGTAGATAAATCTCGTTCTCCAGAATTGCATCATCATTATCAAAATATATTCTGGACAATTTAAGAAGATGATATCAAAATTTCAAAGAAACAAATACGATTAGTTACAAAATTAATTACAAAAAGAGAATTATAGGAAATTAAAATTCTAAAACTAAAATTAACTTTCTATTTTTGTTGGCAGAAGAATATTTTTTTTATGAATATATGTATCGTATTTGTACAATTATTATTTTAAACATCAATGATATATAATATTCACTTGTTTTATATGTATTAGAAACATTAGAAAAAATTCTTTAACATTAAAATTAATAATTATATTGTGAATGATTAAATCAAAATAATTAAAATATTATGATAAAAATAATTAAATATATGTAATTACGAATAAAAAATAATATTAATCTTGCATTTGTGCATTTTTTAACAATTGTAAAAAAAATTTTAACCAAAAAATTTGACTTAATTTAGTAGTTCTAATGTGAATAAAAATATCATTACTACAAAAAAATTACGATAAGAATATCTTGCAAATTCAGCTAACGTAATCTCGATAACATAATAACGATAACCGAATGATTAATCAATTTTCAGCATCATTATACGCGTGTAAGTGGTGAGGAGGCGTATTGAATGGGGTGGTAGAAGAAGCACGTCGCTGATCACGATTTGCATCTCAAACGGGCTTGGAACGATTGTTGGCTTGATATGGAACATCACGTAACATAAATCTCGATCGATTGGAAACGATAAGCCAATCTGCGACCTTCTGTCTTTAACGAGCAGACCACTCGAATTACCTCGGCATCTCTTTTGCATCTTGAATATTATAATTAATTGCAAGTTAGGCGTTACCAATTAATGTAGATCGATTAATTAAAGCAAAATTTTTTTAAATTAAAAGAGGATTGAATAATTTATCCACAAGTTAGAATGAATAGAATGAAAATGAATTTTATGCCTGATAATATTAAATAAATGTAAAATTTTATGATATATTTTTTTATTTAAAGAAATAGATTAGAAATAATAGAAATTGCAGATAGAATGTAAAATATTCTTAATATCATAGATGTAATTATATATATAGAATTTCAAAATTGGAAAAAAAAAGTTTTGATTGTAATGTAATTAGCTACAATATATGTTTTACTTTAAATTTTTATTTTTTTTATTTTTTATTTTATTTTTATTGGGATTTATAAATGGATTATAAATACTTGACATGCTTAGAATAAGAAATTGCATTTCACCTTTCAAATAATATTACATAATTCTTTTCAGAAGAAATATTTAAAAATTGACTTCACATCGAATTGAAATTATATATAAAAAAGATTATTATATATAAAAAAATATTCAAATTTCAATTTCTAATTAATTTATTAATTGTAGTTCATTATTTGATCTACCAATTTTTCATAAGAATTAAAAATAATGATTTCACAATAAACAAAAAAAGAAATATCTCTGTTCAAAATTTGAAGATTTACAATTAGAAAGAACAAAAATTTATTTTGTCATGATGGATGTCGTCTATATGGATGTAGTTTATTTGTGCCTCATACATTTGATCATGCTTTAGCATTAAATTTGAACCTCTTCTTTTATCTCTACCTTTTCTATATTCTTTCATTTGGTTTCGAATTTCTCTTTTAAATTTTGCACAATCATTTTCCCACACCTCTTGTGTCATTCAATCTATCGTTCCTGCTTTATTAAATGGTGAAATAATCACTTTTTTTTATCTGACTCGTCAATTTATATACTTGAACATTCATTTCAATCATTTATCACGCTTTTATTTTAATCATACTTCTTTATTTAAACAATATGCTTTTATTTATTTCGATGCAAGTTGAGTTTTAAATTCCTGTATTTAAATATTTATAACACAAAATATAATTTTATTAGTATAATAGTTTTTTTTATAAAATATATTTCACAATAATTTAAAATATTCAAAATAAAATATAATTTTAATTATTATAGTATGTATATATTCAATATTGAATATCATTTAAATAAAAATAAAAATAAATTAAGCAAAAAAAATTCTATACTTATATTTAACATAAAAAGATTTTCAATAATTATTACATGATATAAATACATGTAAATGAAAATGCAATATATCTTTAATTTTATCATTAATTAATTTTCACAATAATAATAATATATATTGCTTTAGGCCAAATATCTAATTACATTAACAATACAACAAGAAATTAATTAACAAATTAATATTAATCATTCATAATAATTATACAATATTTGTATTTTTATACTCTTGAATTATTTTCTTTATAAATTTGTAAAAATAAAATACGTACATGAAAATTAATAAGAATTAAATAAAAATTAACAAAGAATTCTGAAAGAAATTTTCTTTTTTTTTTTTTTTTTACCATTCTACATAATCCATACATATTTTTTTTAATACATATGTATATTTATATATACATTATATATTTTTGTATAACTTGTATATGTGTGTTTGTATATTTTTTTAAAATATCTTCAGTAGTTAAGAAGCGACAATATAAAATATGGAAAAAATAAAGACAACCATTGCAACATTCCTCGAACTCAACTCAGTCGTCAATCAAAGTTGTCCCTTTTTTTAAAAAAAGGAAAAAAGAAGAGAAGAAGAAAAAAAAGAGAGAAGCACTGACAGCTCTCTTAAATCGAAAAACTAGAGCACGTAGCAAAAAGAAACAATGGATTTCCACTTGAGAGCAACTCGGCCGGGTAGCTTCAAAGAAAGTCTGGAGTTGTTCGTGCCGAGCGCGGCGAAGTCGCAACTAGCGAGTCTCGTGTTGCACGCTTAAAAAGGCAACAAAAGCCGAGTAGCCCCGGTGAATACGTCAAATTGTCACGAAGAAAGTTTCCATGTCGTTGACCAGCAGGTGAAGAACGACGAATAGGAAGAGGCACTGTGCCTAACAACGGTTGTCTCTTGCTCGAAGATCGTAGCGTTACTAGAAATCCCTAGAAAATTCTAGCTCAAAGCCGATCGTATTAGTTCCGCCTAAGTGCTTTTTCCGCTCTTTCGAGTCGACTTAAACTCTGTTCGACGTAATTGTAGAAATAAAAAAGAACTTCTTTGAAACTCGCTCAATTTGAATAAAGTTCTGAAAGACTTCGATAATCGATCGATATAAAATTTGGAGAGATGATAGAGAAAGATGATGAAAGACCGAAATATAAAATTTTAATTTCATCTATTTATTTTAGTTTTCTTAGATATCAATAACAAATTTTTACAATGCTGTGTAAATGTGATGATCATAGAATGTAAAAATATTTAGTTGCTTTCTTGAAATATCGCTTTTTTTAAAATTTTTACATCCTGTATTATCTTTCCTTTCATATCAGGTAGGAGTAAGTTATATAAATCCCTCTTCACCAAAAATCTTATTTACACATTCTCGGTTTACCACACGTACACACGTGTGTATGATGTGCCCGAAATAAACTGCGCCGTTACCGCGTTTCTTACCAAATGCCACTGAAATGTAACGTATATACACACACATACCAATATATTTACTAAATGCCTGTACATATACTCGCAGCGCACTAATTTCAACGTAGAAATTTCGGTCGGACATTGCCGCAGGAAGAGACCTTTTGACTACGATCTAATTTCTAACGGGTAATTTCATTTAGGGTGCATCGTTTATAGCGGAATGCGAGGGCGTTTACTTCCAACCATCCACCATCCTTTACATTGCTGACTTCAGCAATTTTGAAAGAGTTCCTCGCGCAAATCACATCGTAAACTCTTCCTACGGCCGTTTTAATACCCGCATTCCACTCGAAATTATACATTTCTCGATGTTTGAGTAATTCTCCGATATCTCCCGTAACTGAGCTCTTTATTAGATGATCTACAACCGATCTCCATAACGTCGTCGTCATTAGCGGAACTCGGGCGAGCATCCAAGTGCTCGTGGAAGAGAGTTTTTTTTAATGATGGAGGAATGGAATCGCATTAATACTTCTCCTCGATCTAACTCGAAATTCGCAGTGTGCATTTTTAAAATTGAATGATATCTTGATGATACGATACAAGGATCATTCATGATGATTCCATTAATACGATTACATTTACGTTTGATATGTGGCCATTTATTTCATAATTCTTTTATTAATTTTTTGAGACACGATTTTTCGAGTAAAAAAAAAAGATTCATAGAAATTTTATTTTAACGAAATGTATATATAAAACATAGGGTTATTTCAATTGTTGTCAACGTGTGAAATTTATGAGATGAATCATGTGTGTTTTAATTTTTTAAAAATGGATTGTATACATATTATGAATGGTTATAAAAAATATTTACATTATAATATTTATATATTAATTAGAAAAAAGTTTCTTTAATAAAGTTGTGTGTAAATATTTTCTTTCTTTCTTTTTTTTTTTTGTAACTTTTGCATAAAATATTGATGCAGATTGTTGTCAATTATATATACATTTTCTTACAATGCTCAGAAGATACACCATTGAGATCACAGGCTGTAGACTGAGTTTCCTAATTTGATGTTGTTGGTTGTCGACCCATAAATTTAGTCAAGGGTCCAACGACATTTTACAGAGAAAGGTTTGACAGTGAAATTGACCAGATTACTCGATTGTCTAACTTCCCATGCAAATAGAGCTTAATATTACTTCCGGCATTAATAAGATTTTGCCTCATTTGAATATTGAATATTCGTTTTAGCGAATAAAGGACTAATTTTTTTTTAATTTTTTAATGAGAGCTTACAAAGGATTTTGCAAGCTCTTTAAAAGATATCTTTATATGAAATTTTAAGAATGGAATATTAAATTCGTCTCGAAGAACAAAAAAACGGAAGAAATGGTTTTTTTTAAAGATATTACAGAGTTGAAATAATTTTTAATATAATTATCTTGTTTTTTTTTTAATTATCTTTGAAAGATTATTCTGTAACCAACTTCAATGCAAAAGATGTCTTGTTATTATTACCATTGTTTCGAATTTCGTTAAATTTATTTAACAAAAAGAGATAAATAGATAAATAGCTAGATTTGCTTTGTCACTGAAAAAGAGATGCTCACTGAAA